TATTGTGTGTACTGTATATATTTAAATCAATTAATATATCTACATTTGTAATTTTCTTAATCTGTGACCCGTTGACCCGACGGGTCGGGTCAACTGTTTAAAAGTTCGAGTCGGCACTGACCCGACCCGACCCGACTCGTTCGGAGCTCTAATCTAGTCAATTTAAACAGTATTTTTTTTAAAGAATTTATATTATTAAATGTATAGCGTTTAATGATTTTAATGTTGCAAATTTTTTTTTTGATACATCACTTAGTTCAAAATCAATCATATTTATAATATACTTTAAAGTTTCTTTATTGATGAATAGTAAATTTATCCTTTTGTTTATTTGTTTTAGTAGATTCAAATAGATTTTATTAGATCAAATAATACGTTACAGCAAAATTTCGGAGAAACAATTACGCAAAAGCACACGTAATAAGTATACATAGCTTGTAGCCTAGGTACTGTAAAATACGCATGCAAAATTTCTTGTTTTCTGATTTTCTATGTCATTATTATATTGATTATTCAAAAAAGAAAAAAAAAGATTTAGGAAATCAAACCTTTGCATGATTCATGGTTCCAGCCAAAAAAATCCGTTATTATGACAAGAAATCTGCAGCGGCAAAATTGGTGATGATCGGTAAAAATTTTTTAATAATACAGTCTAAGTTCTATATACCGAATCCTCTGCCCATTTTTCTTCTTTTGTTCGTTATAAAGAGAGAAATTAATTTTAAAAAATTGAATCGGAGACGAGTGACAAAAGGGAAATTCGTTATAGAGAAACTTACTTAGTGTTCGTTATAGAGAGGTTGGTATAAATGAATAGATGAATAATACATGCGGAAATGAAAATTATTTGTTGAAATATTTGGTTGTATTAGTTTTTCATTATGATCTAATAATTTCACTTTTTTCAATGGTTTAAATTCTTTATAACCAATTCTAAATCACCTTGTTGAAGAAAATTAAAAGCTGTCTCAAAGGAAATTACGGCATCTTTCGTTGAAACTTTAAGCATAGTGTTACTCTCAACAACTATTATATTATTTACATCATTTTTTCTCTATTTGAAATCTCTTCAAATATATTTCTTGAATTTTCAATTTCATTATTATACATTTCATTTTCCAAAGGGAGAATTGCAGTTTCCCCCAACTATTATTATCAATTTCGGTGATTTGGACATTTATATGGTCACATGAATCTGCTATAGCCATATAGAAAGACCCCATCAAAAAACCGTGGAACAAATTTATTAATAGAATCCGTTATTATTATGACAAACGTTTTAATTAATAAGGGGACAAATACTTAAATCTGTTGTAACAAGAAATCCGCTGTTGGAGAGGTCCGCTGTGACAAGGTTTGACTGTAATATATAAGGAAAAGTTAACCGGTTAACCGCAGTTAAACGGTTAACGGTGCAACCCTTACAACAATAATAACCACTCTTAATTCTATCCAATTAAATTCAATTAAAACTTTGAATATATTTGTAAAACTAAAGCTATTTTTTTTTACATATATATAAGAACGATTAATGTTTTTAATATTAATTCATGGTAATACAAATTAGCTTTATTTTCCCTAACTACTACTCAGGATTATGATATTATTTTAGTACAAAGAGCTTTAGAAATATTTAACCAATAACTTAATTACAATATAAAAGAGCTATTGGTTATTAAATTAAGCTAATAATTAACTAAAAAAAGGATTGATTTTAAAAGAATGCCTGATAAATATTGGTGCTTTCAATAGGCTTTTAGATTATATGATAAAACACTAGGAATATTATTGACTTATCAGTATGCCAATACCTTGATTATTTTTTTAAAGAATTATTAGATTCTGATATTTACTGATACCCCATTACCAATTTGGCATCATTTCAACCAATAAAAAGTGAATCAATAGATTATATATAAGCAAAGAAAGGTGAGACCCTAAATTAGCACAAAAAGAATTTTAAATCATGTACAAACATAACAGCTTTTTATTGTATATAATTAATTATATATTTTTAATAAAACAAACATGACTTAGCTGTTTAATCATTTCCTTGCATGTGAATGCTTCCATCCATCAAATATTCATGATTATCATCCAATACATTTGATGTTATAATTGGCATAACAAACAATTGCATCACCTGAGTAATGATAATACCAAGGCCACGCATAAAAATAATGTGTTTCTACCCAGATCTTTAGGTTCACAAAATAAATTATTTTACCTAATGATCAATTGTAGTTCTTTATGAATGATAAATCTGATGTTATTTGCAGGTGTCAGATTTAATTAAATTTTCCTGTCACAAACATGTGGGTCGGGTGCTATTAGCACACCCCATAACCATGGGATTTTTCCTTCACAGGTGAGGGTGCCCAATGTTGGTAGGCTTTGAGCAAAACTTTCCTTATCTTCCTCTCAGACCAGGCTTGGCTGTTACCATGGGCATTGGTCACCTGATAGCTAGTGTTTGCATGATGCTTGCTTTGTGTTATAGTTCTCTCACTAAAATAAAGTTTGTGTCTGCTGTCTATTTTAATCTACATAACAAGTAACTAATTGGGCAAAACCCCATTCAGCCCCTACCTAAAATTATAAATTGGTTAGTATTAAACAGCCTTTCTCTTAACATCAGAGCCTAATTCCAATTTCAGGACCATCAATCCTGTTCTGAATTGTGACCTCCTGTGCTTGAAATAATTTGCAGATTCTTGTTGCTTTGATGGATCTGGATGTATATGCATTCCTAATGTCACAACTCTTCAAAATACAACTTGGTCACATAGCCATCCTTACCTTAGAGTTAGAAACGTTGCAGGCAACTTTCAGCCAGCATGATAACAGCCTCCTCTGGTCTGGGTACAGCGAGAAAGATTAGTGAAAGTGTCAGACAATTGATGCAGTTTTAGTATATTGATTCAGTTTCTACCGTTTCAATACATCCCAGGGCTACTCCCCCCCCTAAAATTTAACAACATCATTGTATCATTGGAGCCACGACATAGTTAGATTAGCCTTTGTACACAAGGAATTTGTAAGAATGACTGTAAAGTGTTCATGGTTGCATGCATGCTTCAATATCTGCTAATCTAGTAATTTCCTGGTAATCAAACATTGCATATTGAAATGTTTCTTCTGCAACAGTCAGTCATGCTGCCTGGACATTATAAAATGGTACAAATATACACTTGTATATTCTAGCAAGATTTTACTGATTAATTATTTAATCATTAATGATGCATGTGAATTTAGTTTAAAGCCGATAAAAGAGAAGACATTGTACTAATAGCATCAGGTAAATCAATAATATATTTATATAAATAAATAAATGAATAATTTTATTTACAACTTTTTTTATATTTTAGAACCTTTGACATTTGAGAAGGCGGATTGGTTAACCATACCATCAAATACTTGTATAGTTATCACTCCTAAATTAAATGTTTTGCTATATCCTATCAAAGATCAATTCTACACTCTCGACAGATCAAAAAGAAAATCAATCAATCAATCTTCTTAAATAAAGTTAGAGGAATTGTTTAACACATACCCTTTTTTTTAATCCATCTCATATAAATCAAATCATTACTAATCCATTTTCAAAAAACCATTTACAATGAATAATATGTAATAATAATAAACATAATAATAATAACAAATGAACATATTAATATTTATACTATCAAAAATTTCAGGTTTCAAAGCATAATTAGTGATAATTCAACACCTACAATGACCAATACTATACCCACAAGTCCATAATGATGCTTACTTTGTGCCTACACATTCGCCTAATAAAATAATAATATTATAAGTCTGTCGTCAGTTGCTGATGGTTTAAAGAAGGCATATCTTATTATTACATCAACTCCCACAGATATAATGATGTCTGATCAGGTATCATGCCAATTGGTTCTTTTAATAGCTTTAGATTCAATTAACAGCAGACAGCACCAAAATGGTTATTAATTAGATTTATAGATATAATTTGTATGAATTCTTTTTTTAGCATCAATTAGATTGATATTATAGGAATGCATTCTGAAACACATATTTATATTATTTGATTATAATATGAATCAATATGTGCTTTTTACATATTTACATGAATAAATTTTGTATGATTAAAAAAACCACTGATTTTCAAACTGCTAGCATATGTTCGCTTGTCTCTTTTTACCCTCTTACGAAATTGTTGTTTACATTTTGCATATAACGGATTAGGAAATATAAAATATGATCAAGTAAAATTTTCATTTATGCACTCGTAAAGTGTTGAATGAGCTGTGGAATGAACTTCTCAACTTTTACATCAAGAAGAACTAACATTTAAAGACTTCATCATAAAATAACAATAGAATAAAATAAAATAATAATCAATTCAGTTAAGTTGGTATCTAATAACTTTCATAAAATAAAAAACCAAACCTTCAATTTTTTTTTAAAAAAAAATCATGTGAAACATCTAATGTTTGTGTTATTTCCATTTTTTTTTTGCCCACTCGCTTTATTTTATTTTTCCATTATTTAAATAAAAATGAATCCAATTGTTTTAATGAAAATGAAAGATTATTAAATAAAGAAAATCTTTATGATGTAAAAATATAGAACCAAACATCAAAGAAATTCATGCACATAAAACTTCAATTATTCTTCATTCATCAAAGAAATTATTTTAATATATATTATTGTAAATATTGCTATTTATGAAAATAGAATTTTAAAATTCTATTATGATGTTAAGGTGATGATAAGGTTGATTGAAGACTAGACTTATAATATTTTTGTATTTGCAAATTTTTGACATGTTCTTGTTGGTATTTATTCTCAAGAGAATCAAGAAGCTTCATAGTGAAATGAATATATTGTATGTTAAAACAAGCTATTCACTTCATATTTCATAATTATATCCATCCTAATTTTGTGAAAATGACATAGAAGTAAACATACCCTTGCTCGATCCAGTAATTCCAAAAAAGTTTATTATTAATTTTGTTATTACGAAGTGCATCTTCAAGACATCTGGAATACATCATCTCGGGGTTGGCAAACTGACTGGTCCATTGCCATTAATAAAATACTAAACATGGTTAAAGTATTACACTAATGGACCCAATAGACCACCAATGGACCATCAATGGACCGCACATTTGCCAACCCTGCATCATCTTAATGAAATTTTCTGTGTATGATGATGAACCTTTTCTTGGTGCATGTTCACAAAAAGCTGTATATGACCACTCAGTTGCTTTTTCCTCATAAGCCCCTCATTTTCCCTCAACCTTTTACAATTTATCCTCTTTCTAATTAAATGTTCCATCACAATCTCCTCTCGAAAAAATCTAAAATTGATCTATAAAATCTTTTAGACTTGCTATTCAGTTCCTTGCCCTTGTCATATTTTCGGTATTTGTCTCTCAAAGGTGTTTCCGAACTTAGGACAAGAAGGAAATATAAATTAGAATGACGACAACCACCATTCTTTTAATAAACACTTATCTAGCAATCTTGGGAACAAATTCTTTTCTTCTTTTTTTTGATTGAAAAAGACATGATTGAAAAAGACATGATTGAAAAAAAGAAGATTGTTTTTTTCTTTTTACGATGAGGTAATTTTATTTGCTGCAAGACAATGAGACTGCCCTCTAGTAAACTAATCAGTTCACTATGAAACCAACCTTTCACCATTACCTACTAAATCAGGCCCAAAAAAGGTATTTAAGATTTAAACACCTGATATTCAAACGTAGATAAAAGCAAATGGTTATTATCCATTATAATAATCTAAAAGGAAACCACCTGATGCAATTGCATATTCTATACCCTCAGAACCGTTTAATAAATTGTTTGTATCTCTATTTTAAGGAGTTGTTAGTAGGATTTTTATTGTATTTCTTTTAAAAAAAAGAAGGAATTGTTATTTCGTAGGCAGAAATTCGTCTGATTGGCTAATTTTGCTGATCAAATTCGCATATTATTTATATAGTTTAAAAAATAAAAATTATCACAAAAGCCTTTAAAATAATACTGACATTCACTGTGCAAAAGAATCGAAAAAAAAACATACTCCCGACATACTTAGAAGACAAAAATGCCATTTACCAGTAGTATTACAGATAAGGTTGTGGGCGAAACCTCCTTAGTATAGAGGTTGGAATCATCCAAAAAATCCTTAGTCGACTACTAGTTGGTCAAAATTTCTTTTAGTCGACTAAATTTTTTTAATACTAGCATGTAACCATTTGCTTTGCAAAATGGTCGCACTAGTCATGGGAATAACATCCTATTTAATTAGAATATTCATTCTGTTTCATTATTATTAACATTTTTTTAATTTGCAGATTACAAATTCATCTCCATTTGAATCTTTAATTTTCTTGAAATACTTCCATATGAAGCTATATGTTATAATTCGTTTTTTTAAAGGTCTGGAGCCACTGCTTGAGCTCGAAGCCAACGAATTGTTGGAATGATTTGACCTTGTATCAATGTTTATTATTTTGCATGGATAATTATCGCCAACACCAGCACCAAC